GCCCTGTTGAACCAATTAGGGTTAATACATTTCTGGTTAATGAGAGGTGCCGGTCATAATTGTAAATTAATATTTTCCAGTGGCTACCCATGCACTCAAGTGTCAGTATTGATCAAACTTACCTCTGCCCAGTTAATGCTGATGGATTCAACAGCACCATACGCCTGCTCATCTGTTACCCAATTAAGATAAGCCCTGGACTCTTCCTAATAGCTGTATTTATTGTCATCAGGAATATTGATATATCTCCGTGCTAACTGCAAGCCAACATACACACATGAACACACACAGAGGATGCGATGTTGCTCTGGGGATTGTCCAGACTCAAACCACAGCGATAAAGCACTTTGCCAGCTTTCACTCTTTGTCCAGAGAGGCAGCATTTTCTGTGGGGAAAGGGAAAGCAAAGGATCCTCCCCTTTCTCTACTCTTACTAAACTAAATTTTATTCCCTGCATCAGAGAATAAGTGCAGCAGGCTCCACAAATAAACTGCTTGGCTTTTAAAAGACTAAGCCAAAGGAAAGCCTCCTGTTGCATAGGGAGTCCAGCATACGAGAAATGCTGGGCATGTAAGGAAAATGCCTATGGGAGGAACCAAATAAGGATTAATGAGCATCTTTTTATATGGTTCTCTACATTGCTAGCCTGACTGTCCAAATCAGAAGCTGCTGGGTAGCTAATGGGCCTTGGGTAAGGGACATGACAGCAGCTGCCTGTATAAAGCAAACAACAACAAAAAGAGAAACTGTGGCAAAATTTAACATTTTCCTTGCAGTGCAAGGAAGACTTTGTTCCTGAAAAGCCCACATACGATTTACCCAGTCCAAGAGCACTTGCCCCTCCCTGGCAACATGCGCCAAAGTCTCCTGCCCCTAGCAAATGGGCTATTCAACAGAGCAAGAGATCAAGACCTCATTTCTTCAGAAAAAGGTCATTTTAGACTAAAGCAGAAGCGGGGAGCTCAAAGGAGTCCAGGTCATCTCTGTGGTCAAAGCGCAGCCCTGTCCTTCCCAGCCAGAGCAACCATCCCTTTCAGCTGAGCTTATGCGCTGCAGTACAAAAAGATGAATGGGAAAAGAGGGTTGTAGATGTGTTTTCTAAAGCTCAGGAAGGCAGAAAGCAGCCTTTCGGCATGCAACACTGGCCTCTATGCTCACCGGCTAAAGAACCCTTCCCCTGCTACCGGAGCACAAATGAGACAGCACCATTTCCCTGATGCAGAGGCTGCCTTTGGTCCCCAGCAATCAGTTTGGCTCTGAAGTCATCAGTAGAAGCCTCTGTGTTGGTTTACGTAAGTGGTAGCCTCAATCATTTTTCTATTAGACAGAGGCCCCCAAGAAGACTTATGGTCCTTATTAAGCCTCTGTTAAAGGCAGCTCAAGCCGAGTGAATGAAGTTTGAATGGGATCTCGCAAACAGAGCCTTTTAACCCAGCGGAGGTGCAACTTGCACGCCTGCTGCCACGTAACAGCAGAGCTCACTGCTGCTGCCTCTGTTCAATCTGTCCTTTAGATAAGTGAAGGACACCTATCTCCAGGGCTCTTCACTTAGTACTTTTCACCATTCACTAAATTAAAAAGTGAGTAACTGACAGCACACCTTATTAAATGATACTTCTCCCTCCCTCCCCCTAGCGCCACAGCCATGTTTTAAGAGCCACAGACACTTTGCCGGTGTCTTTTTAATTTGATTTAACTAAAAAAATAGTGCACAAAGCCATTTGGCCTTGTGCCATTCAGCGCACTGCTATAGAGTAGGCATGAGTTATAGGGTAATATTTCACACCCTGTTGTGTCTTATTACTTAACTAATAACAATATTTACCCAGGGTTTTCCCCGAGCAACTCAGACAGGTTTAAAAGAAATCTTGATTAAAGAATGACAGCCAAAGTATTGGATGTTAAGTATAAATAAGAGTAATGTGAAGAGAGTGGAAGAGTTTACTGTTGCATCCTGGTAGTGTGCAGTAAATCAGTATAATATGAGAGTTCCTTCTTTACCGGGCCTCCCCAGTTGCCAGCTCTCATTGCAGCCAATGTAGAAAGCCGCCAGCTTCTGTACTTGCACTGCAAGTGCAGCTACCGTGGGCTATGGCTGCAACAGGCAGCAGTAGTAGCATTTGCCTGCCAGGGCCGGACCCTTCCACCCCCCAAGGCCTGGCTAAAGGAGTAATTAGCCACCTCTCAGCCTTTCTGGGGCTAATCACCAAGAGATATGATCACAGCAGACCAGTGCATCACAACCTCCATTTTCCACAGATTCCCGGCTACCCTCAGAGGTCTGCTGAGCCACTACAAGAGATTTTAAGCTGATATGAAATACTACCTTCCTCGAGGCATGATCTGTGGAACTCACTGCCGAGGCAGACACAGCCAAGGACCCAGTAAATTGCCAGGGCACTAGATGTCGCTAGCAAGAGCGCTCCCATGCAGGTTAGAGAGGATATGACATTTTTACTTTCACATAACTTTCACCAGGCAAGCAGCAACTTTCTCTTTGGTAGATTATTCCATGTTCCTGCACTTTGCACTTTCTGCTGAAACAGTTGGTGCTGCCCTCCGTTCAAGGAAGGGTACAGAGCTATCAAAGTCCCTGTCTCACTTCCTCTGGTGATTCTCAAGCTGACTCAGGGACTTAAGCCACACATCATCCAGCTAAGAAAGCACCGTAAATTCCTTCCAAGCTAACTGTGTTCATAAAATTCATCTAGTACTGTAAGTACAAGGACTCCTGTCCAAAGCAAAGGGGAAAAAAAAATCAAATTTATGTTTAAATTGCTATTTACCTGACTGCCTCACAGATTACCTGCTCACTGGCATGAGAGGAAAAAAAGATCACTATTCTCTGCAGCTTTTAGTCTTCCCATGGAGATCACCCCTCCAGAAGTTCACTAGCCTCCAATATGACTCTCCTGTAGGAGTGGCTAAAATCACAGCCCTGGTAGAGATGTATGCCAGCCAGGACTGAGCACTTGAAATGATGTCATCTTGTAGAATTACTTTAGCTGATGAATGGGCAAAATCCTGCAGTTGTTACTCAGGCAAAACATCATTCTAAGATGCTGATAATTTTGAATGAATAAAGGCTTTAGGATTTGGTCCAGTTTTAGTAATTTTGGAGCAGATGCCTTAAGGAGCACAAGTCTCTCCTGATAAGGGGCTATGATACGGGATGATCTTATGATCCCATCCTACAACACCTCAGCAGCAATCTGTTCCTGGCTGCATCCCTGAGCCAAAGATTGCAGCAGGCAGTGGCTAAGGAACAGAAACGAAACAACCAAACATTTACCCTCTTTGATCAGGGTCTGCAGAGCTTGTCTTTTCATCCGTCAATACTTCAGCTTTCCTCAGTCCTGCTTCCACACTGGGCAGGTAGCATATGAAATGCTCCCACAACGGAAAGCAACAGGTATGTGAGCAGCAGGAGAACTTGTGGGCAGGTATCTGGGCAGCATTTGTCTTTACAAGGTCTATTTGGTTTCTGTGCTCGAGTGAGATCCAGCTAGGGAAGGTGACAGCAAAGCAAGGGTAGGGAGAGACATAGATCCTCCTTTGCCTCCTCACCACCAGGAAAAGGCGCCGCATGAGCCATGCAGAGCCATGTGGAGGTGGTACTGACGAGTAGCCAAGGAAGCAGGAAACAAGACTCCAAAGCTTACTGAGGATTTTAGTCCCAGCCAAGGGAACATTTTCTTTCTTTGCACTGGTACAATCTGTGTTTGCAGGAAAGTTTTACTGCATCCTACCAAATATTTCCCCCTCACCTCCCCATAGGCGTTCCCTGTGGCATTCAGTCCAGCTATTTAGCCCTCAGGCCACCTCCACCCTGTACCCCTCAGGTCCTACCCAGCTGCTTTCTAGCTCTCTTCTACCTACGCTAGCCCTTATACAAGCTCCCCCACCTCAGTCCAAGGCCACCGCTTCTCTCACTCACACCAGCCTCCCTTTCTCCCAACCCTGCCAGCTCTGCTCAGGAATGGAGACCCCAGTGATTCAAAGCAGGCTTGTTATTAGCTCTGCCAGCTGTTTCATCACCCTGGCTCTCAGCAGGATGACCAGAAGCGCCTTTGTTCTCCAGGACGCCCCTCCCAGCCAGCTCTGACAGGGTGGCTTATCACCCAGGAGCAGCAGCTTTCGTCTTGGCAGCTTATTTCTACACCCCACTTCTGTGTTAGGAAAAAAAGAGCCTTCCCCCTCCTCCAGCCCCCTACCATTCATCTTTTCTTTCTTTCTTAAAGGGTGGCGGGAGTTGTACCGTCCCTCTGGGCTCAACTGCTTTTGTTGGGCATTTGGTGTCCCCCTGCTTTGAATAGTCACATTGCTTGTGAGGAAAGAAGAAATGGCCTTGGAATAAGAGATTGCATCCTTGTGAGTTAACGTGCGGGCCAGGTGGTACAACCACTGCAGAAAAGGATAGATGTGGCAGATGATAGCACTGGGCTCTATTAGGGAATTAGGAATTTGGTTTTTAAAAATAGAAATGCAGGATGACAGAAGCTCCCTGTCCCCCAAAACCACTACACACATGTGTAATAGGTCCAAGGCATTACATTTCACTAGTTCATTTAAATGGGCCCAGAACATACCAATCAGAGTAAAAGCAGCCAGATTGATCAGATTACGGCCCAGGAGCAACACCAACCACTAGCCTTTGTGATTATGGACCAAGTATCAGCAGAGAGCATAACAAGCATGGAAAAAATGATGCCCCAAGCTACAATTTCTAGCTACTGTGGTGCCTCAAACCACCTTGCTTTTACAAAGACAGTTCAGAGTCAACTCCAAATCAAACCTTTGTCAAAGCTTTATCTACTGAGAAAACTGTGGCTATTTCAACCTTTTATTCCAACACAGAATGAAGACACATGTGAGAGGGGGAAGGTCATTCCCACTTTCTTTTGGCCTGAGCATTTAGTTCTTGGGGAAAGCTGCAAGATCCAGGTGTCCTATCCATCTTATTTTTCAGTGACACAACCCATATTTTGAAGGCACTTACTTTCCATTCACCGGTGATCTTCCCTTTCTCCTATTGACAGTCACTTGCCCAGACTTCTCACTTTTTCTCTGGTGATGGATTTCCTCTTCCAAATTCCCTCTCTTCCAGTATAAGAGGCCAGCTTAGTCCAACTTGACTGGGAGAAGGAAGCTAAGCACCCTGAAGAGGAAAGAAGGAACCCCCCTGGAGAAAGACCTAGAGGAAAGCCAGGTCTTTAATACTGGAGGATCATTTTGCAAAGCGCTGCTTTCTTCTGGAGGCGTAGTGTGTAAGCTATGTCTGGAAAGGTACCTGCTGAGGTAAAGGAGACCCTTGAAGCGCACAGGACCCAGAGGGAGGGAACAAGGTCATTAGCATGTTAAATTCAGTGACAAGCTCTGTGTAGAGAAACATGAATCCCCTAGTAACACTCTTCCGTAGCCTCCTGCTTTTCCCCACCCATCCGCGTGGCCTGCCCTTTCTTTATATAAAATATTTTTCAGTTTCCTTTCTAAACCACTTCATAAATTCGACATACTTCCTTCAAGGCATCCAAACTCATTTCCGACCCTACTTGTCCAACCTTGTTCACCGTGGCAGGGATGCTGGTGTACTCGTGCTTGCTTTCATGCAACAAAATCCCGTTTTCTTATCGCCTCTCCCACCTGCCCTCTGTGGCAGCCATTCTGCTGTTAGTGATGCAGCAGCCTGTTTCACAAAAAATGCCTCTTCTGTGCCTGAGGCATAGCTCCTCCCAGATGTCATGAAACCTCTGCATGCTGTGCTACTGCTCTTTCCCCAATGCCAGAGTGAGCCTTTAAAGTCCAGGGCCTAACTGTAGTGTCATTTCTGTTTTAAGATATATTATTGGGAGTCCTGCAAGGATTAGCCTCCCCTTCCAGCCATAACAGTGCTCCTCCTTAGACATAGACTAAACACTTACAGTGAGAAAACATTGATTTCAGATGCTGAAAGTGGTGATGTATGGAAAACACCATCTAGGGATGAACATTTTCTTGTGTGTGTTTTCCCCGTAACAGGTTGGCACCTCTGAGAACAAAATAGCCACCAAGCTCTGAAGGAAAATGAAAACTATCATGATGCTATGGCTACCCACATTATTCCATATATGCAGTATAAAGAACAATTTTGTATACATTAAGACCAGAAGGCAACATTACGATTTTGCCTGATTTTCTAACACAGGCCATAGAACTTCAGCTACAGATTTTCACATTCAAGTTCAGTGCCTGTGCTTAAGCTAGCATCTCTCTTGCAACAGCAGGACAGCCTTGATTTGAACATCTGACATATGGGAAATCTACCACATCTCTAGTTATTTCATTCCAACAGAAAATTGTCCTCACCATTAAAAATGCATTACTTCCCACCCCCCAGCTTTCTTTTGTGTAGCTTCAACTTGAAACTGTTGGATCCTGTCATCACTTTCTCTGCTAAAATTGCTGAAATATCCTTCCTGAGTAGGTAAGTAGGGCCCATGATTACGATTCCTCTCAGTCTTTAAGTAGATTGAGCTTCCCAGGTCTTTCATTCCAAGGCAGATTTCCAAACTTTGCATCATTCCAGTAGGCTCTTATCTGAACCTTTTCCAATTTGTCAACAGGCCTTTGATATATTTTGTAGCACAGTTGAGTTAATGTTGCAAGAGAAGCCTTCACTTTTTTACTTTCTAGGGTTTTGCCTGCTTGATTTCTCACCCATAACATTACACATAACTACATACCATATGTGGTTAAAAAAACCCATCGTATTCACACAGGAGACTCTTAAAGGTCAGAAACTAAACTAGAAAATATATACCAGAGAAACCAATCAAAGCCTATTAATTTTTTCTCTTTTTCCGCCTCTGCATGCCAGATGCTACAGGGGCTTAAAGTACATTCCCCAGTGATTTAACTAGCTCATAGAGAACTGTCTTGAGTGATGGTACTATCATCTTTTCCTTTGGAAAACTATCTTGCAAAGCTTGTTCAGGGAAATTTTTCCTACCACCTAAACTTTTCATGTGGTTAATTCCATCCTATTTCTTTTACGTCCTTAAACTATGCTATGCAAATCTTGTTACTTGGGCTTCCCTCAGCAGTATAAATTTGTCCAATTATTCCTATATCCCTAAGTCAACCTAACTAACATCTTTTTGTTACTCTTACACCCTTAAGCAAGCCTAGATGTCTCTTTAACGTGTCCAATCCTTTAAATGCTTGTGAAGAATTATAACACCCTGGGTGGGTTTGTCATCCTATACTTACTTTGAGTTTCCATTTAATCACTGTCAATGAAACCTTCTGGTTGGTTTCTTTGCATTTTTTTCACCTCTGGGACTCATTTGGCATTGAGGTATCCCAGATCTGACTGAAGAGAAGCATCATTACTGCTAGACAGCAGGGTCCTCATCTTGCCAGCCCAGGACCTGCTACCTCCTCTTATGAAGCCCTTAAAATCTCGAGTGATATTCATTTTGATTATATGTCAATTGATTTCGTCATGCAAACGTGAATAAAGTTAAATTTCACCTGTTCCAGAGATGAACTCATCTCCAGAGTAAATGTAGCAAACTGAAGACGGCAAATGCAAATAACCAAAGTTTGCATGCAGTAGTTTTTGTCAGCTGCAGGAGAACCATGTAAGCAATAGCACAAATGACTTCAACAGTGGAACAAAAGCAGCTCATAAAATGAGTTTTGGGTTTGTTCAGGATTTCTGTTTTTAATCTGGGGCACTATCAATGAACCTTGGACTCCTACCTGCACACTTCAAGCAGCAGTGTGTCCAGAGATGCACTTAAAAGAACTGTCCAGCTGATATTGTAGATGGGGCTTTAGACAAGCTGAAGCTTTGGACATAGCCAAGATCATCACCTTAGCTGAGATCACTAAGTCTTATCTCTACTACAAGCATACATACGGCTATGATCAGCTATTGTCTTTTGATGGTGTCCACATCACAGGCAGACCCTCTCCTACATTCAAAAAACAGGATAAGTAGAAAGCTTGTCCTAATTTTCCAGTCATTTCTGGAAATCCTCTTCTCTGCTGACTTTTCTTGCCACTGATCTCCTGCTAAGCAAAGGAATAGCAATGCTTGAATTTGATTTCAAAGCCAGCCTGCCCTACACAGATCCTTTTTGGGATCCTCAGCAGCTATTTAGGTCCTGCTTCCCCTTAAGCAACGACACTTGTGTTCTGATGCTACAAAAAATGCCTGATAGCCTCTATAGCAAAAATATTTTAACATCAATTATCCTGGAAATTCAGCGGAACATTTTGAGGGGGTTTAGGCATTTAGGGGGAGAAGGCATTTTGGGCCAACAGAAATGATTCCAAAACAGGAAGGTACAGGGGCCTCATTTTGGCAACACTGTTAAAAAAAAAAAAAAAAAAAAATAACTCATTATTCTTCAAGGTCTGTTTTGGAGCCTAAAGTAAATTACTCATTTCTTGACTCAAACTTGCATCAGAAGATCCTTAGCTCAAGGTAACTGACACTTCAGCCCGTAGCCAGAACTCCCCTTTGAGACATATAAACATTTTGTTTCATTGACTGATCTTTTTCCTAGATTTATAGAATATGACTTTCCCTGGAGCTCAGGTCACGTTTGCATAGTCGAATAAAAACATCATAAATCTTTCTTTTCAGCAGTAGGAAGCAATGGAGAATTCCTCCTGGGCCCTCCTTAAGCAGCTAAGCATAGCTCATGACTGGACATTACGCTATTTCTTTTGGAGTTAATACGATCCCCTGCCCTGCTGGGGCTGTTCAGCAAGTCACACTGAGGATACTTTCCTTTTAGGAACAAGGAGCTCCTGCAGCCAAACCAAACCAAAGACTACTCATGATGCCAGATAATGAGATGCCTCCCTTATATTTTGGCAGCGCACCATTGCAAGGGATCTGTATGTCAGAGATCCCCAATTTGCTGCACAGAATTATTCTTTGTAGTTCAGGCAAGTAAATCCCTAAAGAATCAAGACTGGGGGCAGATTTTGTTGTTATGGAGGGACAATCCAGGGATGAGGCTTTATCTCCTGAATTAGATGAAAACAATTGGCTATGGATGGAGACTACAGATCAGAGATCACTTTATACTGTAATACACATTAATAAGATACCACTGTGGTAGCTTAGAAACTGCTGTGAATATTTCTATCAGCACTTAGTGGTGGGTAAGACCAATTTTTATCCTATGGTCTTCAAAGAGCAGCCCCAAAGACTTGTATTAGCTTGAGTCAAACACTTCAACAACTACACTTTGACCTCTTATACCTCCCAGCCCATCTGACCACCAGAGAAATCACAGAAACATGAGAAAAGCTTTTAGCCTCTGAATAGCTCAAACACTGTTCCGTGTCATATTGTGTAATCCCTGTGGACTTCATCATCAGTGGCTCCATTATATGAAGAGGGCCATTTGGATTATGATATCTAAAAATCTTTCTAGTGCTTATGTGAAACAATCCTGTACTGTCTTGTGCTCTGTTAATAATCTAAATGATTTTTGCTTGCTTTTATTTGGATGCAACGTATGAGTCCTGTCTGGCTGCTGAACAGACTTCTCCCAGACAAGTTTGAAATCCGTTTGGCAGTTCTTTGCCCATATGTGCTCCCTCAGACTTGCCTCCTCAAAATCACACTACTAGACAGTTGCTCGGAAATCAACACGTGTTCCCCTCAGATATGGCAGGTACCTTTAGCCTGTGACTTCAGCTCTTTTAATGTAGTCAGATGCTATAAACATGAGTCTAGTATAAAATAACATTTAAGCAGCTAGCAACCCTCTATCAGTAACAAGATGGCAGTTTACCATGCTGGATAGTGGGCTAAATAGGTTATTTCCCAGTAAAAATACTGTTGCCTCCGCATTGAGTAACAAACAGCAGTAGAGACATAGTAGCCCATGGAATGGTATTTACTCAGTCTCGGGACATATGAGAAAGTGATAAATTAGAAGCTAAGGGTTGAGTTTAATGTCATGAGCGAGATATTTTGATCAATTTCTCTCCTTCCCCTGCACTTGCCTTTCACTCCTATCTCCTTTCCGTTATTCCAACTGGTGGAGATGCATTTCCAAAGCATGCAGCCTTTCCTCACAGATAAACTTTTTCTTCTATCATCAGGATGAAAGCCTTGAAAGGGATGG